TGTAGAGATTTAGCTAGACTTGGGAAGGTAAGAGATACAGTGGAACCTGGAATAACGAATTTAATTCGTTCTGGCGCCGTGCTCGTCATGTGAAACGCTCGTCATTCAAAACGAATTTCCCCATTAAAAACAATGGAAATACAAATAATCCGTTCCACCTCCAAAAACAACAATATGGCATTGTACACGGGTAATATGATACTCTACATGTAAAATAAAAGTTTTGTTTGACATTTCCCATTTGTACATGCACTTTATCTTATGATGAGTCATTGCTGGCTTAAAGGAGACAATCGGGTGGTGGGAAGGAAGAGAGGGGTTACGGTGTGGAGGGAGACTCCACCTCTGGGTCAGGCGGGCTCTCTCTCTTCTTGGCAATTTAACCCCACTTGGACCGGGTTGTGGTTCACTATCACTTGCTCGTGTTTTCTCACCCTTTCCAAAGAACTTATCGAGTGCCACTTGACTTTGTCTTCGTTTTAGGATGTCTCTAAACCAAGACAGCACATTGTCATTAAACATGTTCACACAACATGTTGTCACTGTTTTATCTGGGTGATGCTTTTCCGCGAATGCGGTCACCTTTTCGAACATTCCCAACACGTCCCTGATCTCACTGGATGGGATAACATCCTCCCATACCTCCTCCTCCCCCAATGAGAGCTCTTTTTACCTCCTCTTTAACCAGCTCATTCTGCAGTTCCAGGAGTTCCTCAGTGGTCAGTTCATAACTGTGCTCCTCCACTAACTCCTGTACATCAGCAGCATTCACCTCTAGACCCAATGTTTGCCCCAGAGCATCAATATCACCCACCAGATGCACATCTGGGTCATCCACAGGTGCAGATGCATGTGCAGAACCGAAACCTTTGAAGTCTCGCTCAGGGATACCCTCAGGTCACAAGTTTCGCCATGCAGAGTGTAGGGTCCTCTGTGACACACCTTCCCTGGCCTTATCGATCAAATGTAGGGCCCCATGATATTGAAGTGGTCCTTTCAGAATTGTTTGAGCATCAGCTCTGTAGTGTCTATCACATGAACACATCTCTCCAACAAGGCCTTCATGGACAGCTTTTTAAAGTTAGCAATGACTTGCTGCTCCATGGGTTGGAGGAGTGGAGTGGTGTTGGGAGGAAGAAACTTGGTGATGAACTGATTCTCTGGAAATAGATCATCTTGCATCTGTGGAGGATGCGCAAGAGCATTATCGAGCACAAGCAAGGCCTTGAGTGGTAACTACTTCTCCACAAGATATTTCCTCACTGAGGGGCTGAAAACGTCATTTGCCCATTCACTGAAGAATATCCGCGTGACCCAGGATTTCTTGTTGAACCTCCACATCACATTCAGTCATGTCTTGTGCACCTTACACACCTTGAACACTTGTGGATTTTCTGAGTGGTACATGAGCAGCGGCTTCACCTTGCAATCACCACTTCCATTGGCCCAGAGAATGAGGGTAAGCTGATCCTTCATCGGTTTATGGCCAGGCAATGATTGTTCCTCTTGCATGATGTAGGTCCTCTTCGTCAGTTTCTTCCAAAACAGCCCAGTCTCGTCACAATTTAAAACCTGTTGGGGCATGAACTGCTCCCGATCAACAAATTCCTGGAACTCTGGCACAAATTTCTCAGCAACAGCTTTATCAAAGCTGGCAGCCTCCCCATGTCTCACAACATTGCGTATACCACTCCTCTTCCTAAAGTTCTCAAACCATCCACGGCTTGCCTTAAATAACTCCTCATCTTCAGATGACGCACCTGGTGTCTTTTTAAAAAGATCCACATACAGCACCCTTGCCTTAATGGGATAGGTAATTACACTTAGGTAATTACAAACAATAGCTTCAGAGACACTATCGCCATGCAATTGCCGTTCATTCATCCAGACCAGTAGTGGCTTTTTAATATCATCTAGGAGTTTTGGATGTTTCTTAGTAACCTTGGGAACTCCTTTAGCCACTTCAAGCATCCTAAATTGTTCCTTCCTCTTCAAAATGGTGCAAATTGTTGAGGAGGACCTGCCATACTCCCTGGCGAGATCAGTCACACATATACCATGCTCGTGCTTTGCTATGATTTCCTTCTTCACTTCCACAGTAATTGTCCCTTTCTTCCCCTTGCCAACATTGTCTTTAGCAAGCTGCTTATTTGACGACATTGTGCGTTAACAATTGTAGTCACAAAACCAAGCAAAATCCACGAAAAGCACAATTAAATGCGGAGGGATGCTCGTCCTGTGCGATACCATAACAACACTGTTGTCGGAGGCGTCCGAGAATGTGCGAGAAGCAGCGAGACCGCACCATATGGTGTTCTCGTTATTCCAACGAGCGCTCGCCAATCGAGACGAATTGTCGGCGATCGGCGCGCTCGTTACTCAAAATGCTCGTAAATTGAGGCGCTCATCACGCAAGGTTCCACTGTATTTATTTTGTGTATGATGTTCAAGTGTTTTATTGCATCCTTCTAGGATTAGATTTAAGTCAGGGTTAATATAAAAGTATAGGACATTGTCATTTGTCAACACATGTGTATAGGTAGAACCTGTCACTTCTTTAACATTATTTTTATAAACTCAACATTTTACAATAAAAACTGACTAAATATTAAGTGAGCTCAGAATGCCTCTATTACTAAGTAATAGTTATGTACTGTATCTTATAGCATCAATTAATAGCCACTCACACGAGCTTCACTTAACATTAACACTGCCAACTCATCCAATACACTGGACATTAACACTACTGTACTAACACTTGTTTCCTGAGCCTTTACATTACAGTCAACATCAACTGCAATATTTTTGTTCCCATCAACACCTTTTAATACCACTAATAACAAAACCAACTAAATAATCAAAGCAATCTCTGAGAAAACATTGTCACTACTGAGCAGTCATCATTGATAACAATATTTAATGGTATCAATATTGTCCTCATCATCTTTACCATCATCACACTTTGACAGATTGTGATTGTCCAAGTTGGGGGCTATGCTGTTAGCACTGCAGCACTGACGTTTGATCAGTGGCTATGGTGTGTGTTTTTTGGCTTATTAACTCTTCTCTGGGGTCAAGTTCTGAACAGTGTCTCCAGTGTCATCATCTACTTCATGGATAGCAGGTGAGGATGGAAGTACTACCTTCACAAGTGATGATTCTGTGTGATATTCAACCACCATGTCATTTATGTGCAAATCATTGAACCTTCAATAACATTGTTACTCAATGAATGTTGTGTTATGTCAATAGTTATTTATTAGGTTATAAAGATTTCGGTACTAAAATGAAATATTATGTTAAGCATTATTCATGGTCCAGAAAATTGTGTAGACTTGTATAATTTTCTCCCTAAGCAATTTGTATAATTTGTCCAACCCTTGGGCTGGACTATAGAGCGATGGTCTCATTTCATGCAGGTCAGCGTTCAATTTCCAACCATCCAAGTGGTTGGCACCATTCCTCCCCCCCCCCCATTCCATCCCAAACCCTTATCCTGATCTCTTCCAAGTGCTGTATAGTCATAATGGATTGGCACTTTTTCCTGATATTTCCCTTCCCTTCCTTCCCTAAGCATGCAGTACAAAGTATATTTTATGTTTTCCTTCTATTATATTAAGAAATAAATAGCATGATGCCACACGCTTTTAAAGCATGTTGATAAGGCATTGATCTATACTAGTATTTCTTGAGTTTTGTGGAGAATCTGAACTGATATGGCTCAGGATCTCCAGTTGGTCTTTCATGCCACTCTTGGTAAAACAAAGCATGTAGGGATGAGTTCACTGTACTGTATATATAAACACATTATTGGTTTAAGCCATTCCCTTGATTTTCAGCCGCATGACCAGTTCTTCTACTAGAACAATTACTAAACCAACATTTCACATGAAATTTATATAGGCTTATAAAGACATTAGCTAATAACAAGTTACAAGCTAGGAAACACCTTAGAGTAATGTATGAAAAATGAAACAAAGTTATAATAGACGATAAAAAGGGCAGACAACACTGTGAATGAATTCTTTACATCAGTGTTCACACTAGAGAGAGATTAAACAACATTCCAATACCCACACAAATGTTTGAAGCAGGTGAAGAGAACAAATTAAAGGATATTCACATAATGTGCAACATAATAAGCAAGAGAATAAAAGACTCAAAAGCCCAAGGTGTGGATGGAATTTAATCTACAGTCATAAAAGGATTGGCAGATAAACTACAGTAGGTCAACCACTGAAACTCCTTGTAAGAAAATCTCTAGACCACTGGACAGATACCCTAGAGGGGAAATATGCAAATGTCACTCCTGTTTTCAAAAGCAGACAGAGCTCAACAGAAAGCTACCTTCCAACAAGCTTGACCTCACATATCTGCAAAGCTCATGGAGAGACTCTTAAGGAAGGGAATCATTAACCATCTCAGAGCGAACAATCTAGTAATATCAATGCAACGTGGGTTTGTTATACTGTACCTGTATATATATCCTGCCTTACAAACCTGTTCACATTTTTGTTTTCTAAGAATTGGCCACTGCACTCTGCCATTGTTTGATGTATCTACGCATCATTAAACATCATCATGCTCCTTCAGAAAGTAAACTTGTGCAAAAATTATTCATATTCAGGATTTAGTGACCAGGATGCTGATAATAATAATAGCAACATTTTGGCTTGAGTTAGTGACTGGCATGTTATATTGGAGGTACAGTATTATGGCGAGTCAGTTGGCATCGTCAGCTGATTAGCGTGTTGATGCTATGCTATGTGTGTGTGTGTGTGTGTTGGCCCCATCAAACCAGCTCAGTTGTTCGTAATGGTGCACAAAAATGTATTTATTTATTTATTTATATATACAAGAGTTCTAACATTCTTCTACTATATGTAGATAGTTATATATATGTAAATAGTGTATATGCAGTATGATAACAGCAAAAGCACTGTTTTCTTGTTCTAAAAATATACTGTAATAATCTTGTCACTAACATTTGCACCATATTTCTGTGGTGAGCCCCGGAGCACCCCCCGGGCTGATGTGTATATAATAGACCGTGGCAACAGTCAATCAAAGGAGTTCTAAGCCTACCGGGGACCAGAGCCTGAACCTGGCTCCCTCAAGAGAGGAACGAGGAGCAATGGCCTAAAGACACCCCCCGTGTAATTGGAAGCAGTCTTTGTCTGCCATCTACCATGTCAGGCACCCAGAAAGGTAGGAATTTTAAAACAAACTACTGCTGGTCAAAAAAATTTTAAACTGAAAGCCAAACTGGCAAACAGAACTCCCCAATCAAAAACAAGGAAACAAAGATGATGTCACCACAACTGCCGCGCATCCATCTGTTCAACCCCCCACCCCCCTCCCGGGAGGGGTTGGGGGTGGGGGGAAGGGGGGTCCCAGATCTCCACACCGGCAACTCTCCTCAGTTCAAGAGGTTGTTGTGTTGGTAACGGTTGATCACTCTGCTCCACTCTTTGCGCAGTGCTGCAGTGTGGTGGTGGTGTTCTGTTTTGGTGGTGTGTGAGTCAGAAGTAATACAAGAATACTGGGGCTACATGGACCTAGGGCTACCTTCCCTAGGTGTCCTGTAAGTACTGCCTTTGCGGCCTCAGGGTTATCTTCCATGAGCTGTTCAGGAGCAGCTACCTCTGTGTGGTACTGTCGCTGCTCGGTGATTGCCTGCCCTTGGGGGTTTAGCTGGGGGAGGTTCTTACTCCTGTTTGCCCTTGGGTAGGAGGTAGTTTCATCGCTGGCTGGGGCATGAGGTACTGTGCAGCTGTCTTATATATGCATAGCGACCGGTTCTGTTCGCCTGGAGACGTTGTGCTTTTGCAGGGGTTTTCTTTTGTTTTTGTTTTGATTTGCCTGGTGGGGGTCTGCCTTGCCTTGTGCGGTGGTAGGAGCACTTGCAGAATTTGGGTGGCCCTCCACTAGGTCCCTGTGCTTGCACATGTCGCAGGGGTTCAGCTGTTAGTTGTTTGCTTGGTAGCTCTGAGATAACCGGTTAGCAGTACCTCGCCTGGGCTTCCCTTAGCAGTCAGCCTAAGGCCTCTGGAAACCAATTTTGGGGCTTAGTGGTCCAATTTAGGAGACCTCTGAGTCCCACCTCGCCTTGTGTGAGTTTGAAGGTTGCTCTGTCCCCCTCTTGTCTCAGGGTGGCACTCACCGTCTGCCTCCGCCTTGCTGCCTGTTGGGGTTAATGACACCTTTGACTCAGAGTTCTGCAAGTGGTGTTCTTTGCTTGTACTCCATTCACCCAATCCACTGAGACTGATATTCGTGTGCAGGCATCTTTAGCATTGCATGCGAGGTTTAGGTTGCAGCAACGTGCGAGGTTGGTTGCCTTTCCGGATGCCCCGCAGCTGCTCCGCTAAATTATACTGGTAGTGAGACTCGGGCAGCTTTGGGGATTGCCCCTTCTGGATCAGCGGTGGAGGCATTTGAGCCTGGTCCTCTGGCCGGAGCTTTTGGGCAACACCAGGTGGCCCCCTTCATCCTTGCTCTTCTGGTGGACTGCGTTTTCTCCACAGGCAGAGGGTTTGGAGGATGGCTCGGCCCTGGGTCCTGACGTGGAGGATTCTGGGGCTGGAGAGGAGTTGACTTGGGGGGGCCTCGTCCCCACTTGGCCCTGCTTGGGTGTTTGATACCCTCGGCGCGGGGCTTGTTGTTACAAGGGGAGGGGTTTTCCTATCCCCTTCCCTGTACGATTTTGTTAAGAGTTCGACTCCTCCCCGAGTTCGGTTCCGAGTTCCCTTAAATTCTTCAGTTCCCTCCTTTTGGAAGATTTTTGGCTTCCCGCATCCCACCGAGGAAGGTGTGGGAGACCCTTGTGACTTACCTCCTGCGAGATCTGGATTACACCTCGTTAATGAAGCCTTCTTCTTTTGAGTTTGGCTCCTCTTTTCCTTATTGGGTGCATTACAAGGTGCCGGAGTCTTCCTGGCTGGTAGACTGCCTTTTCTTTCGTTGGGACTTGGCATTCGTCCTGTCGGACTGCGCACTCCAATGGCGAGAGTTGCCTACGGTTATTCAGGTTTTCCTGCGGGGTGAATTGGAGCACCTCAATAAGTGCTTGTTTGCCCCCTGTCCTTCCTTTTGATGTCGGCCAGGTGCGACTTCATGTGAAGGTTCCATCCCTTTCGGCATCCCTGGTGGCCGAGGATTTGTGCGCCTGTGGGCACTTGGCTTCGGTCTTGCGCTTTTTTCCCTGCTGGAGCTGTCTTCGGACTGGCTCGTGGTGGGTGTGGAGGAGCTGGATTCCGGGCCCGTGCCCGGTGTGCTTGCTTTGGCAGCTCTGGCACCGGCTCCCTTGGTGAAGTTGTATGCACAGTTTCTGAGGGAGGCGGTGTCTGTTCTTCGCTTCTCGCCTCACGTGCTGACAGGTGGTGCATGTCCATTTTTGGAAATCGTCTTGGGCCATGGCTTTTAGATTTTCATCCCCTGTTTGTCCATTGCTGTTTGCTGAGTCTACGATGGTGCATTCTCTGCAGGCGACTTTGTCTTGTTGACGGCCTATGGCGGACTTGCACTGTTGCACTGGAGGCTCGCGCTGTTTGTTCTCGCCAGGTCCCACGATTCATGGGCAATTCGGGTCATTTTCCTGTGGCCTGCAGTGGCGTTGCTTCTTTCCTTCTCCTTCGGGGGGATTAGGGCTTGTGGGGCAGGCCTCTTCCCCTGTGCTCTGTCAGGTCATCTTGGAGTGGACCTCTTTGCATCGACTTGGTCGAGGCGTCTTCCAGTGTTTGTGGCGCCCTTCCCAGACTGTGAGGCCGTCTGGGTTTGATGCCTTTCGGCTGAACTAGTCGAGTTGGGGTTACCTGTACCTCTTCCCACCAGTTCGGTTGTTGCTCCCTGTACTGGTTAGCTTAGAGAGAGTTACCAGGGATGAGTAATCTTGTTGGCTCTTAGGTGGCCGACCCAGCCCTGGTTTCCTTTTGGCTCTTAGGTGGCCGGCCCAGCCCTGGTTTCAGGCGCTTCTTGCTCGATGCCCGAACCTGAGGGTCTTCCCGCGGCTTTGCCTCTTTCAGCAGATCGGTCCATTCTGATACGTGGCTTGTTCGATCTTCTGTTTCTCGCGTCTGGTCTTTTTGACGTGGGTTTATCACCAATTGTGTGGTGATCAGGTGG